CCCCAAAACCCCAAAACCCCAAAACCCCAAAACCCCTTTAGAAAGAAAAAAATTGAAAAATCTAAAGTTATATTTATTTTATGAGAAAAGCATCAAGACCAACGAAATCTTTGCCAAGACAACTCCCAGATATTTGGGATGATACTGACTGAATAGTCAGTGACGAAAAGTATGATAGTAAGACAGTCCAAATCCCTAATTATACAAATCAATTTTCCAATATTTTGAAAAACAACAAGGGGAAAGTCAAGTTAAAAGATTTAAGAAATTATGTCTTGGAAGGAGTAGATTTTCCTCAATATTTACCTGCTAAAGATAAAGAGATCCAATCGCTAGATAGAGATATTAAGATGAATCTTGAGCAAAAAGAGGCACAGAATGAATGCTTTATGACTCATCTTATCAGACCAAACGCTGATCTAACTGCTTGGACTATGCGAGAAAACGAGAGCTCAAAACTCTTAGCGAGCCTTCGGAGGATACCCTCCAGCGAAATTCTGAGGTTATTGCATTAAGCATTAACGAAGTCCAAGCCAACTATACCAATCAAAGTGTTCTAGCTTTCGTTTTAATTAAAATTTTCTATAATAGTTGATCCTTAAATCCCTGTTAAAATTGGAAAATTTGTCAATAAAATTTAGCTTATCATAAGACCATTATAAATTATTTCCAAGTTACTCACAAAGGTCAGGGAAAGTTTTGGTGGGCCAAGAACGTTCGACCTTTCATAATGAGTTTCTCCAAAGAGGCTTAATTGCAACAGGAATAGTCTATCACTGTTTCTAATTTTCCATACTCTTATTCTCTACCCCACTGCTTCTTGGTTTGATTTGTGGTAGATTTTCTGAAACTTTTCATATAATGTTGAAGAATAATTATAAGTTATCTGAAATCATTTCACCATAAAGGCATAATAGGCTATAACATGAGAGATTACTCTCTGTCAAAACTATCGATGGGTGACGCTGCCAGTTTTATTAGTACCGATACAAATCCTCTAAAACATTGCAAACTCCAAATCCAAAGTTCATCTTTAAAAACTCGATAAAATTAAACCAAATTTTCTTATGCCCATTCTTCCAAACTATTCTAAAAAAATTCAAAGCTTAAAACTTCAACCCGAGCCTAGTTGAAAACTGTGACTTAACTTCAAATTCAAGTTTAGCAGTTTTACGGTATTGAAGATTTAGGATGGATTTTGCAAAGGGTTTAAGTTATGCAGGTAGTATTTAAAGGGATTTTGGGGGGGGGGGAAGGAAAATAGTGAGGAAGAAAAAGGGTATGGAAAAATAATGAGGAAACATAGAGCGGATTCTGAAGTTATATTTTTTGGTGAGAACGTCCGGTGGGTTTGATAATAATTACTAATTTGTCTTCTTAGCATCATGCCGATATATCTTCGAGCCTCTTTAATGTGCTCTAGAGTCACTTTACGTCTTAACATCTTTGATAACCTCAGCTTGCCCTCTTTTTCAGTATATATTTCTTTACGTTTATAATCAGCTTCGATTCATATTAAGTGATTTTTCAACAGTAGAGATCGTTTGAATTGAATACCCAGAGCTTCAGAGTTCTTAAACTCTCTTTTTCATTTATTGTGTAATGCTGCTGCTCGCCTGGGTATATGGGAATGGATCATCACAAACTCTAGGGAAGCGAAGTACATTTCCTTTAAGGAAGGAAGTGAACTAGTTCAGTATTTGGCAATTAGTTTAGAAAAGGAATTCGGTACCTTGGATAAGAGCCTAATACTATGCATTGATTCCTCACGCATTAGAACATTCTGACTTGACCAAGACCTTATCCTCTTCTAATACCTCTCCTTCCTACTCTTCATGATACAGACACTCATCTCCTCGAATTCTTGGAGTCTGAATGCATTGCTTGCATCTGACACGTCAGTCTGAGTTATCTCTAATAAAAAGTAATTTTTGGTGGAGAGGATCAGCTGAAAAGAGGCGAGGTAAGCCCAGCTGACAATTTTTGTACTTGAGAAAAGATTCCCAATAGTTTGCAAACTTTGGTTCGAAATTTTTCAGTATTTGAACAGTTTCGTTAAAATTATAATCTTTATTTACATCTGATTCAATATTAATACTTCATAAGCCTCTTGTCGTAATTATCAGCAAATTTTGAAATAAATACTGATAAAATTAATTCTTTGGTGTAAATAGAAAAGGGTTTTTATAATGCTTTAAAAATTGAAAATATAGAACAAATTTACTTTGATGTGCAATTATTCTATCCTTCCTATACAAAAGCGAGCGTAGCAAATAATATCACAATGCTAAGATAATTTGAACTATAATGTTCCCAAGCTGGCTTAACATCTTGTAAAGATTATTTAGTTTGCCTAAAATTTTAGCCAAACTATTTTCAAGCCTGAATTATGTTGTAAATCCGTCCAATATGGTTCGAGGAAGGGTGACCTAGCATATGAGGGTAATATAAAATTAGACCTTTTAGCTTTTAAATTTATGCTATTTGTTCACTTTAGTCAATGCTGAATTCATATTACATAACTTAAGTCATAAATTAAGCAAATTAGTTTGGAATTCAAGGTATTTAGGAGGCATATGCAGTTTTGAGAGGCAGAAAGAGCTTTAGCTATGGTTTTCATAGAAGGGCTATGGTTTAGATTTAGTGCATAGTTTGGGAGATTCTTCTAAAAAAATTACCAATGTTTATGGATACTTTAAAGTCACAAAGTTAAGCAGGAATCTCTATCTTAAATTATTTTTTAAAATTTTGATCTTAAAGTTTTAGATTATAAGCTTATTATTGCTTCCATAAATTTTTAAACCTCCTTTGTTTTTTTCTCAGGATGTAGAAATTTATCCCAAAGCTAATATTGTCCTGATCTCATTGGTTCAATAACTAGAAGTTGGCATGGGGTTTTGGGGTTTTGGGGTTTTGGGGTTTTGGGG